TTCTCTTTTTCTTTCCTTTTCAGATGTTTCTGAACTACCATTAGACGTTTGAGACGTGGCGTCATATTGGCGATTTTGTCGCCTCTGTTGTCGTTGCAAATCTTCCTGGCGCTGTTGTTGTTGTTTACGGCGAAATTCTGCTTCACGTTCTTCTTCTTGCTGTTGGAGACTTAAGGCAAGTGCATAGCTAATGATAAAATATAGAAGCGATTAGTTGCGATTAAAATTAATAAATAAAAAGAGTACCTACTCTTGATCTCCTCCTCCACGTATTTCGTCATCCATCACGCCAACATAATCACCACCAGTAATTTCACCTTTGCGAAATTGTCCATTAACGAATTCAGAAGCGCTTTGATCTACGTCAATAAGCGATTCCCATACAACTGAATGTTCATTAACGAATCCGGCATCAGTGACTAGAATGTATAGAGTTGAATTTTGAGGATGTTTGTATAGCGTGGAAAACTTCCATTTTTAATGCCATGAATAATAGTTATATATATAATTATGAATAAATCACAATAAGCAAATCTTTTTAATATCCCTTATATTAATCCAAAAATACAATGAAGTGAAGGTAACAGTTACCAAGATCTCAGGATACAGATTACCAGAAACTCACATGATTATTCCGGAAAAATACGCAAAGATTTCCTGGTGGTAAAGCTTCAGATAACGTTGACAATCCATGGTATGTAAGTTGAGTTTTAGACGCGTCCAAAAATTGTGATGTTATCAATGCTTAATATTATGTAGAAGGTACAAGCGACAATAAGAATATTCAGTTAAGTTATGCCTGATATTTTCTTTCAAGAATTGAAAATATTACCATCTCTGACCCTGACATTTTCCATAGCGTTTGCGGATCGCTCAGATTTATCAAAACCCATATCAGAAATACCATCTGAGCTCTCCAAAACGACACCCTTACTCACAGAATCTCCACCTACAACACATTCTACTGCTTTATTGTAACTGCCACACTTTCCAACTACAACTTCCCATGTTTCTTCGTCCTGAGGGTCAACCACCCAACCATGAACTAGTTCCACACCAAAAATATCAAATACGGAAAGTTCAGCAGTAGGTTCGAATCCGTGAATAGAATTGAATCGAACGTTTACATCCAAGCCGGACTGTAATATAGGAATAATTGATATGGCGCTGTGCAATGTGTGTTGATAGTCTTGTAGGGATGGTCTCGCGACTTTATTAATTTGTGTGATAGAATCATTTTCGGTCTTTCTTTGACACTCCTGACTATCATGACCACATTCCTTAGTTTTTTCATCCACACCTTGATTTTCATCGATTCCATTTATGAGGTCGGATGAATGCTCTTGTTGACTTTGACTTTTTTGTGAGGGTTGGTCAATTGTCAATTGATGTAACCCTTTCTGAATCTTTGTGGAAAAAATGAATATTAATATTAAACTATGATTAACTATATTATT